GAAGCAGGAGGAGGAGCAGGAGGAGAAGGAGGAGGAGGAGGAGAAGGAGGAGGAGGAGGAGGAGGAGGGGGAGGAGGAGGAGGAGGGGGAGGAGGAGGAGGAGGAGGAGGACGACGCGGGCCGCCGGGCCTCGGCTCTGGGCCCGCCGATCCTGCTGGGCAAGCATTCCGACTGAGGCTGGCGCAGCCTCGAACCTGCCACCGCGCCCCCGACAAAGCAGACGGAGGCGAGAGGCGACTGGACGGAGGACGGGGACGGGCGAGAGGAGCGAGAAGGGCCACGGAGCCGGGAGGAACAGGAGAGCGCGAGGGGGGAGGAATGAGGGACACGGGACGAGGAGGGGGGAGGGCGGGCAGGCAGCGCAGAGACCAAAGGGGGGGCGCGGTGGGCGCGGTGGAGGAAGTTGATGAATTCACGCTGTCGGCGTGGGCTCAGCGGTGGGCCCAGCCGCTCCTGCCGAGGGCTCCTCCTCCTCCTCCTCATTCTCCTCCGCCTCCTCCTCCTCCTCTTCCTCCTCCTCCTCCCTCCTCCTCCTCCTCCTCCTCCTCCTCCTCTCCTCCTTCTCCTTCGCCTCCTCCTTTTCCTCCTCCTCCTCCTCCTCCTGATTCTCCCCGCCCCTTCTTCTTCTTCGTATCTTCCTCCTGACCATTCAGTTCCTCTCTTTCTTGCCTCCTCCCTGCTTGTCCTCCTTATCCGCCTCCTCCTCCTCCTCCTGGTCCTCCCTGCTCCTTTCGTCTCTCTTCCTACCTCCTCCATCCTCCATCCTCCCTCCTGTTCCCTCGTGCTCGTCGTCGTCGTCGTCGTCGTGGTGGTGGTGGTGGTCGTCGTCGTTGTCGTCGTCGTGGTCGTTGTTGTCGTCGTCGTCGTCGTCATCGTCGTCGTCGTCGTCGTCGTCGCTGTCGTCGTCGTCGTCGCCGTCGTTGTCGTCGTCGTCCTCTTCGTCGTCCTCGTTGTCCTCGTCGTCGTCGTCGTCCTCCTCCTCCTCCTCCTCCTGCTCCCTTCCCTCCAAGGCTTCACCACCTGCTGATAGACCCCAGGGAGGAGGAGACCCTACTCCAGGACGTGGGCGAGCCCGGCGCGCGCGGCCGTGCGGCGACCCTCAGTCGTCGTCGCCGTCGTCGCCGGCGTCGGCTGCGGCTGCGATGGCGTCGGCGTCGGCGTCATCGTCGTCCTTCGTCGTTCGTCCTTCGTCGTTCGTCCTTCGTCGTTCGTCGTTGGTCGTCGTCGTTCGTTCGTCGTTCGTCGTTCGTCGTTCGTCGCTTGTCGTTCGTCACTCGTCGTCGTCGCCGTCGTCGTCGTCGTCGTCGTCGTCGTCGTCCATCGTCGTTTATCATCATCTTTGTTTGTCTTCGTTGGCGTCATCGCCGTCGTTGTTCGTCGTGGTTTGTCGTGGTTCGCCATCGTTGTCCGCGGCCTCCTCGTACTCGTCGCTCGCTGGAGTCATCGCAGGATCGAGGAAAGCGGTCGCTCACTGCAGGCGCCTCTTGATCGTCCTCCGATGTGCTCTGAAATCGAAGAAGTTGCGGCTTGCGTTCGACTCCGAGGTCGACCAGATGGAGTGTGAAATCGGACCCGTTGGGCGACGGCGCGCTGCGACGTGCGCCCTACCCGCTTCCTCTCGAGTGGCAGCAGGAGCCGCGGCAGGAGGCGAAGGAGGGACTCGGGCCCTCGACCCCTGGCAGGATGGTGCCCCCGCAGGCCGCTGCAGCCAAGCTGCCGCAGTCGGCTGGGACGGGGGGCGATCCGCGATTCATCGGGGCCTCCCTGGATGTCCGACGTCGTGTTCCGCAACGTGGACTCCCCGAGGTCTGGGCTCCTTCCCGGCGACCGGTTTGTCGGCTCAAGAGTTGTTTTCGACGGTCCCGGGGCCCAGCAAGGGCATCCAGAGGCCTAAGGCTGCCACAGTTTTTTGTCGTGATTTTTCCACGCGAGGATGTGAGGGTCCCTCCCGCAGGCCTTTGCAGCCAAGTGATCGTGATCGATTGGGGCGGGGAGATCGGCGATCAGCGATTGGTCGTGACTTCCCTCCCTCCCAGAGCCTTGAGGACAACAAAATACGCCATACACATAAACTTTCAGAGGTCCGCGCGGATTTTTTGGATCTGCGCTGGGCCCCCCTCCCTGGTGCCTCTGGCGCCGCCTCTGGCGCGCTCCTCGCGCCAGAGAGGGGGGGCCAGCGCCGATCCAAGAAGTCCGCACGGACTTCTGAAGGTTTATTTTATGCCGTCCTTTGTTCCTCTATTCCCGCCCGTCGAATGACGGTGCTCCGCAGGCCTCTGCAGCCAAGCTATCGCAATCGGTTTTGACAGGGGGATTGGCGATCCGCGATCGGCGATACTGATCGCAATCCCCCCGGCACCGCAACAATGCTTGCCACTTTCGCTTGCCAGGGCACTGTCCTAGTCCTTGGCTCCTCCTCACCATCTTGATCCTGTTCGCTCACAGGAGGGGTTCCTGTGCACCGCATCCTGTGCATTCGGGTCGATGCTGACGAAGCGAGCGAACCTTCATGCGACTTCGCGGAGGGAAAACTGTTGATCGTGGCCCCTCTCCTCCCCTCCCCTCCTCCGCCGAGGTGGAGGACACCATGGACGAGTACGGCGCCCTCTACGAGCGCCAGCTCGAGGCCGACCTCGTGACCCGCCAGCAGCGGCGCATGCAGCTGCTCGAGGACGCCCTGTCGGCGAGCGCTCGCGCCCGGGCCCACGCGCGCACGCTCGCGGAGGCATGGTCGGGAACCTCGGCTTGGCGCGTCGCGCCGCCAGTGCTGGCCCCATTTTATTTTTTTTTCGTCCAAACTCTGCCTGTGGGGAGACATGCCCGACCTAAGCCTTGCTAGAGGGCCAGATGCGAACCCTACCCCCACCCCCCACGATTTCTGAGGGGGAGGGTGGGGCTCACTTCGCTCGAGAGCTCCCGAACGAAGTGAACCCCACCCTCCCCCTAAGAAATCGTGGGGGGTGGGGGTAGGGTTCGCATGTGGTCTCCTACTTGCCGGGCCTGCCGCCCGTCGGAGCGGAGCGACACGCTATCCGCTCGCAGGGCACAGCGTGTCGCCCGGGCCGCCGCCGCGCAGGAGCTCTCGGCCCCGGGCCCTCGGAGGCCTTCTCGCCGAAGGCGAGGTCAGAGGAGCAAGAGGTCATGATTCATGAGCAGTTCCAAGATCTCCAGGGTTTCCCGAACTTCCGCACTTCCTCATATGTTCCTCATGCAGAGACGAGGGCCGCCAGATACGCTTGGAAATCCTTGAACGTTGTATCCCGAGCCAATCCTGCCATGGCATCATGCTCGTTCTCACTGCACACTGCACCGATTGACGATATCAAGCCTGAGATTGGGATGGCTCGTTTTCTCAGGCGCTCTGGGTGAGCTTTCGGCGACCACGTCGCCTCTTCAGACTCGCCCAGCTTAGAATGGATACGGCCCTCCCTTGTGCTAGCACGCGCGCTCGGAGGAGCAATGAGGGAGGGGCAAGGAAGCTCTACCCGCCTGCGCCGCTCCATTTCGAGCTGGCGAGGTGCCGGACACGAGAGAATAGCTGGGACTGGAGCAAAAAGCAGCTCCAGTCCCATGCGCACGGTCAGGGCGTTCAGCTCAGCGTGTGGCTCCGCCAGTTCTGGCCCACCACGCTTTGGCGCGATACTCTAACTGCATCCCTCATTTAGAAGCGTCACTCAAGTACCATGGTGTTGCTCGTGTTCCCCGCGCTGTGCGAGTTGGTTTTCGTGGTGGTGGAGGTCGCCCCGACTCAAGGATTGACTGGCCTGTTGATGGCAAACACAAAATCCAAAAGCGTCAGCGTCCCGAGCTTCTCCCGAGCCACCCGCCCCGCGGAAGGGGGCACGACCCGCTGGCAGCTCGCAGGGCACAGCGTGCCGCCAGGGCAGCAGCCGCGGCACGCGGAACGGGAGCCCCCCACCGCAGACTTTGTCGTCGTTTTTCATCTGCTGTTTTGCCGATCGGCGCGGGCCCTCTTGGCAGGTGGATCTCTCAAGCTCTCCGCCGCCTCTGGTGGTGTGCGTCGCGAGCAGGAACAGCAAAGCCACAGGAAAGCGCGACATTGACAGTGAAGCTCCGCACGCGTGAAAAATGTTAACGAGCAGGAACACAGCAAAGCCCCAGGAGAGCGAGGCATTGACAGTGTAGCTCAGCATTGGCACGGTGGTGGCACGGTGGCGATCGGCGCGGGCCCTCGCCCCCCCCCCCCCTTGGGTGGAGTAGATCTTGGCTATGTCTGGCGCCTGTTTCAGGCAGGTGGAGTCCCTCCCACAAGGCGCGCTGCTGCAAACAGTCGCGCTGAGCAGAGGTCCAGAGGGAGACCCCCCCCCTCCCCCCCCCCTTCAATGTCGAAACGCCGGATAAAAGAACGCTCACCAACTTGTGGACCTCCGACATCCTAAGCACGGTGCAGCTTTTTTTTGCTGTGTCGGGCGCCCCATTTTCCTGCTTCGCAGTCGTGAAGCGCTCCGTGTTCCGTCTCGCCTTTCGTCTTCTCCCGACGAGTTGCCCATCGCGCGCTCTTCTGCCCACGCGCCCTTCTGGATGCTCGGCTCAGTGGTGGTGGTGGTGCTGGTGTGTCGGAGGGTTTCTCGCTCCAGTTCTTGGGCGCCGTGGCGGAAGGCCCCGGCTGGCTCCCCCCGTGCTCGGCCCAGAGGGCCGCCAGCGGCTCGACGGGGCTCCGGCTGCCTCCTGCTGCCCGCGGCGGCGCCCTGCTCCGGCCTCCACGGCGCCGTGCTCCCCTGGGTCCGACCCCCGCGGGGGCAGGGCCCGACCTGGCAGGGCCCTCTCGGTCCGCTCGCCGACGTCGCCGGGCCCGGTGCGATTGGATCTCGATCGTCGGGCGACCCGGTGTGCGGCCCGGTGCTGGCGTGGCGCCGCTGTGCATCCTGGCCCAGTCGATCGAATTCGATTTGGACCCCGTGCTGATTCGGCCCGATCTGACGCACCCTGCGATCGCAGCGCGCAGGTCCTATTGTAACGGTGAGCTGTGCCACAGAGTGCACATCGAGAGTGCAGGAGCCCATTGTTTGGGGTCAATGCTGGCAAACAGAAGGAACAGGGATAGGAGCAGGGGAAGGGCGGAGGAAGGATGAGGATGAGGAGGACGAAGATGCGGAGGAGGAGGATGCGATGATGATGATGATGATGATGATGATGATGATGATGATGATGATGATGGATGATGATGATGATGATGATGATGATGATGATGATGATGATGATGATGATGATGATGATGATGATGATGATGATGATGATGCTGTTGCTGTTGCTGCTGCTGCTGCTGATGATGATGATGATGATGATGATGATGATGATGATGATGATGATGATGATGATGATGATGATGATGATGATGCTGTTGCTGTTGCTGCTGCTGATGATGATGATGAGGAGGAGGAGGAGGAGGAGGAGGAGGGGGAGGAGGATGAGGAGGAGGATGAGTATCAGAAGGAGGAGGAGGAGGAGGAGGAGGAGGAGGAGGAGGAGGAGGCCCCCCCCCCATCCCTGGCCTGGACGGACGCCAGCAGGTGAGACTGCTGGCACGGAGGCGGCTCCTGGTCCACGAAAAACTTTTGGTCCGCGAGCTCGAGGAGATCCGCCGCCCCGCGCCAGCCTTGCCGGCCGAAGGCCGGCGACGGCGGGCCATGGCCTGGCGATGGCCGCCGATGGCCGCCGAAGGCTGGCGATGGCCGCCGTTTGCCGTCGATGGCCGGCGATGGCCGTCGATGGCCGCCGAAGGCCGCCGATGGCCACCGATGGCGGGCGATGGCCGCCGAGGGTCGGCCAAGGCCAGCGGAGGGCGTCTCCGGCCGCTGGAGGCCGCCGAAGGGCACCCATGGGCGAAGGCCTGCAACAGGACGACGACGACGACGACGACGCCGACGACGACGACGATGCCGACGACGCCGACGACGACGACGAGGGGAGGGAGGAGGAGGAGGAGGAGGAGGAGGAGGAGGACGAGGACCAGTGCAAACCCAAGAGTCATCAACGATGTTGGAGTAAACCCTCCCTCCAAGCTCCCTCTTCACAGCCCCTACAGCGGTTTACTTCCATTGATGGAACTGTCTCGTTGGAAGACACCCGTTTGAAGACCCTGAAGCATGCCAAAACATTGTTCTCGGGATTCCAACGCCATGGATGAACCTGATTGTTGCGTCTTGACGATCTTGAATTGTGCCAGAACGCCATTCCTAGGACTTCAGCACAGAGAATCAACGTAATTGTTGCGTCCGCATAGGGCGGAAGCCTTCCAAACACACAGTTTCTGGTACGTTGATGATGGGAATCCGTGAAGCTCTGGGAAATTGTGCGGCGCTAAGGAGAGAGCCACATTTTGAAAAGGAGCCGCCTTCAATCTGTGACACTCTTGCAAGTTTTTGCAACGAAAGTGCGCGGCGCTAAGGCTAGAGCCACATTTTGAACAGGACCCGCCCTCAATCCGTGAAGCTCTTGCGGAGTTTTACAACGAATGTGCGCGGCGCCAAGGCGAGAGCATTTTTTTGAAAACGACCCGCCCTCAATCCGTGGAGCTCTTGTTTTAATACGAATGTGCGCGGCGCTAAGGCGAGAACCACATATTGAAAAGGAGCCGCCTTCAGCCTTCGACACTCTTGTAATTTTTTGCAACGAATGTGCGCGGCGCTAAGGCTAGAGCCGCATCTTGAAAAGGAGCCGCCTTCAATCTGTGACACTCGTGCATTTTTTAACGAATGTGCGCGGCGCTATGGCGAGAGCCACATTTTGAAAACGACCCGCCCTCCATTTGTGAAATTGTCGTCAAGTCTTAAGCTTCAGAATCATAAATGGTGAGGCAATTTCAGGCGAAACGCCCCGCCCGCCCTAAAAACTGGCCTCGGGGTGCGACAGGGAGAACTTATTTCGAAGGACAAGGAATGAAGGAGGAGAAGAAGGAGGAGGAGGAGGAGGAGGACGCCGTCCAGCCTCTGCGGCTCCGCGCGTCCGGCGGCGCGCGGTTCGGGCGGCGCCCGCGGGCCTCCCGGCGCCAGCCGAACCGCGGCTCCCGTCGGCGTCCCGAGACACCCTGCGCAGGGCCCTGCCGGGATCTCGGTGCGGTGTGAGGTTTTCCAGCCCGGCGATCCCAGAGATCCGACGCTCCCCAAAAACTTGAGCGGGCGGTCCTTGGCCATTTTCGCCCTCTGGGGCCCTCGCCGGGCCTCGGGAGCGCAACAAACGATCCAGGGCGAAAAACCCCCTCCTGGGTGGTCTGTACTTCCGCGGCCCACGCATCGAAAAGATTGGAGCGGCGGGATGTCTGGGTTTCCCTTCGATTTCGGCCTGCAGGGGGGTCCTTTCCCCCGTGTGCGGGCCCCAAAAGCCGAACACTGCCCAGAGCCTTCCGTCGTGATTTTTTCCTCCTTTCCCTCCTTTCCCTCCTTTCCCACCTTTTCCTCCTTTTCCTTTTCCTCCTTTTCCTTTTCCTCCTCCTCCTCCTCTTCCTCCTCCTCCTCCTCCTCCTCCTCGGATCAGGGGCAGCGGTGGAGGGGGGGGAAGGCTGAGGGGGGAATGCGTCGACCCCCAATCGCCCATCCATCGCCGACAGGGGCCCGAGGGCCCCACGCCGCCCAGAAACGGTCGCATCTGCCGTCGGGCGCCCGTCGCCGATGGATCGGCGACGCACTGCCGATTCCAGGCCGATGTTCCCCCACCCCCTCCGGAGCCAGCAGCTGCTGGCCCTTGCCTAGCTGCGAGGCAAGCTACTCAATTGCTCTGACAGGCCACGCTCAAGCAATGCTCAGGACAAGATCACTGGACGGCCGGGACCAGCGTCGTCTGCTTGGGGCCGATCCTTGCAAATCCCTCGGGGGTGTCCTTCGCTCGAGGCGCACCTGATGGTGGGCGGGCTCCTTCTTCTACGCATCGTGCGCCGGCATCGTTGCCCCTCTGAGCGGAAGCGGCGGGGTGCACGGCGGCGGGCGGCCAGCGGCCAGCGGCGAGCCGCGAGGGTTGGCGGGCGGCGGGCGGCGAGCGCGGCCCGCCCCAGGAAGAGCGCCGGCGGCGCGCGGCCGAGGAGCGCCCGGCGGGCTGCCTCGGCTGGTGCGCGCGGCGGGCCGCCCCCCCCGGCTGGTGCCACGGGCCCTGCCGCGCGCTCAGCCGGCCGCCGCCCTCGCGGGAGGGGCCCGCCGCGGCCGCGCCGCCGCCGCGGTCCTCGTCGGAGTCGTCAGGCGGCCTCGTCGGCGTCGGCGTCGTCGGCGTCGGCGTCGGCGTCGTCGTTGTCGTCGTCCGCGTCGGGTCGGCGTCGGCGTCGGCGTCGGCGTCGGCGCCGTCGTCGAATGGCGGCGGGTCCGCCAGCGGGAAGCAGGCGGAAGGCCGGAGGACACATGGAGATGTCAGCATTTTTGGGGTCAGGGGGTCGATCGGAGTCGCGCCCGGGGTCTCGGGAGCCTCTCGAGGAGCGGCGGACGCGGACAACTGCCTGCCGCTGGTCAGCCACGCGCAGGGGGGGGTGGGGGGAGGGGGGAGGGCTTCTTAGAAGCACCCCTGCTTCTTAGAAGGCGCGGGCCTTATCTAGAGATGTAAGGTCGGCGCCTTCTAAGAAGCAGCCTCCTTCTATGAAGCCTCCCCCCTCCCTCCACCCCCTTGTGCGCAACGCCAAGCTGGGGGCGGGAGAGCATGGCCCATTTCTGCGATCCGATCGATCCGCTTCGGTATCGATTCCAGCTGTCCCGACCCGATCCGACTCCGATATTCCGACGACCCGGTTAGGCCCGATGTTTGCATGGCACTGCTGTTCATCCTGATGCCGTCGACCCGAGTCGACTCCGTGCCGATGGCAGCCCGATCCGACGCACATTCCGATTCGATTCGAGTTCCCGTTCGATGCTGACCGATCCTGGAGAGCATCCGTGTCCATCGCTCCTGAGAGGTCCAGCAGGAGTTGGGCAGCCGTGGGTGTCGATGCCTCTCTGTGGTGCACAGCGCCGCCGCCGCCACCGCCAAGGACCGCCGCCTCCAAGGGTGGAGGATCGCGGGAGCATCGATAAGCCTCGAGCAGCAAGGGTCTTGAACAGCTGGCGCTGGATCGGTGGGTGGATCGGGCCTCTACTTGGATGGGCGCGGGGATTGCTCGGGGGATGAGGGCATTATCAGAGGATGCCAGGGTGGGTCATATCTGGCCCAACCTAGCTTGCAAAAAGGGTTAGAAATGCCCCAAGTGGCTTGGGGGGTGGACGATCCGGGCTAAATGGGCTCCGCCCACTTGGCGGAATTATCTAAACCCCCTAAACCACTTGCGGCATGTGTCGCCCACTTATAAGCAAAGTCAGGGCAAACATGGTCCACCTTTGCATCCACTGATGCCCCTCCAATCTCCTTAGCAACCCCGCGCCTATCCCACTAGGGGGGCTCCTGGGGCCGCTCTTGGTGCCATTTTCGGACGGGGTTTGGACGAGGATATATCCGTTCCAGATCTTTCTGGAACGCTTTCAGCGCGTTCCAGAACGCACGCTCTGAGAAGGCCACTGCGCCCCGCCCGAAATATCTTCCAGAGCCGCCAGATCTCAGAGATTTTCGATCTGTCCTCGTCCAGATTGGTCCTCGTCCTGGCTTCGTCATATGAGTAGGGGCTCCTGGGGCCGCTCTCGGTGCGATCTGCGCTTTCCCCGATCGGCCTGCGTCTTCGGGGGACTTGGGGCGGCCTGCGGGCCTTCTCGGGCCGTCCTTGGGGCCTTGGGGCCGTCCTTGGGGCCTTCCTGGGGGGCCCCGCTTGGGGGGCCTCTGAGGCCGTCGTGGGGCCTCTCCTGGGCACGCCTCTCAGGGCTCTCTCTCGTGGCGTGGGCGTCCCCAGGCCGTTTTTTTTGTCTGTGTGTGTGTGGTTATTTGTGCATCGTCTTTGTGTGTGCGTGTGTGTTGTTACAACACATGTAGATTGTGCGTGTGTGTGTGTGTGGGGGTGTTCCAGACTTTTTTCATCCGTTTGTTTGTTGGTGGATTTTGTTTCGTTGCGGTTGTTGCTGTTGCTGTTGCTGTTGTTGTTGTTGTTGTTGTTGTTGTTGTTGTTGTTGTTGTTGTTGTTGTTGTTGTTGTTGTTGTTGTTGTTGTTGTTGTTCTTGTTGTTGTCGTTGTCGTTGTTGATGTTGTTCTTGTTGTTGTTGTTGTTGTTGTTGTTGTCGTTGTTGTATTTGTCGTTGTGTTGTTGTTGCTGTTGATGTTGCGGTTGTTGTTGTTGTTGCTGTTGTGTTGTGTTGTGTTGTTGATGTTGCTGCTGCTGCTGTTGCTGAGTACTCATTTCTATTGCTGATGCTGTTGTTGCTGCTGCTGCTGTTATTGATGTTGCTGCTGCTGTTGTTGCTGCTGCTATTGTTGATCTCCGTGAACGGTTCCGCGCGCTCTCGCCTCGACGCCGGCTACATTTTCTCTGTAAAGGAGGTTCCCGCTCGAGCGTTGGCTTGAGCCTGATTGCTCGAGCCTGAATGTGGGCCCTTGGAGGCCCAGCTACGACAACAACAGCTCCCGCTCGATACTTCCTCACAATTTACCTCGAGACACCCTGGCCAGAGAGGCCCGCGAACTCAGGAACGGCGCTCTCGCTCGAGACTTCCTCGCAATTCAGTTTAGTTGACGGAGGCCC